GCGTTACTGCATAGCCTGCCTGAGAGGCCAGGCGCAAGGAGAAGAAGTTCGCTTCTGCTCTCAGAGTCGCACTTTGTGTCAGTCAGGAAAACGGGCTTGAAATCAGGCTCGCTTGGGTTCTGGTCGTTCATGGCGGCTTCAGCAGCCTGGCCGTGAGGTCTGAACGGAAAATTTCACTCTGGAGTTACGGAGCCAGAGGTGATCTTTTCACGTAGCCAGCACTACAAAGAACGTTATTTAGAGAACACACTTAAAAAATTTGATTTCACATTTAGTTTAGAACCAAATTCATCCAAGTAGATGGGTGCTCTCGCTATGATGGGCGCTGTGTGTATCCAGGCCGAAACGCGCCACCTAACCAGCGAGGGGGCAGAGCAGGCTGGCAGGGATGTGCTGGGCTGTCCGCCTCCCCACCGGGTTTTGTGCAGCCATCTGTGAGCTTGTGAGTAAAAATGTCATCCCCGAATCTCCGCTATTATCCCCAAATGTTACAGGCAGGCTTTAAAGGATGTTGCTTTTAAGAAGCCCTTTACTGCATTAGCCATTGCTCATTGCCGACACTGGACGTGGTCAACTTGGGTCCAATGAGCAAACTCTCCTCCGCAGACCAGAATGAAGCCAGTTTGGCTCTGCTGCTGCCTTCAGGAGTGTCAGGGACTTTGCCTTGGGCCAGGAAAACCGCCCTGCTCCACATGCCAGTGGTGTGGTGCCAGCAAAGGCTGCGATTAGGGCAGGCAGACCTGGGGCACGCGTTGGCTCCAGTCTCCCCGCAGCCCCGCAGGGCATCCCCGTGCCAGCTGCTTTACGGTCAGGACATGTGGGTGACTCTTCAATCCCCTGACAGATCGTTAAGGCATTAACTTGCTTGTGTCTGTTTGCTCTGGCTTCAGGGTACTTTAGAGCAGGATTTTAATTACCACCTCCTCCTACTCCACCACCATGTTAAGACATGTGCCAAAAGCTGCATTAGCACTGAGTTGCTGAGAGAAAAGGAGAACAGTTAGGGATCACTGGTAAGTTAAAGAAGTAAGAGCAGAAGCCACGGCCAGAAGGGACTCCTGCTCTTGGCCTCTGCGGAAGGGAGGTCAGACCAGCGTGGCCACAGGTGTCGGCCCTGCTCGTCTGCTTTGCTTCCAGAGACACGCATGCATCAGCTGGACACCTCTTGTGCTAGCAAGGGCTTTCTTTTACACCAAGGAATCCCTGTAAAGAATGAAGGTGGCTCAGCCCATCCTGCAGAGCTCACTCCCACCCTCAGCCGGGGGGCCTGGCTGGGAGCTGCAGCTGAAACTGGAGGGGAGCAGGGGCTGTCACCCCTGTTCTGCCACCTCCCCGAGGTTGAATTCACTCGTTCATTTAACCAGGACTACCCAGCACTCTCCCATGCACTCATCTGCATTAATTATCAGTGCAATTCAAAGATGAGCAAAGTTTTCAGTTAGCTGAAAAATCCGCATTTCTCTGAAAGTATTTGGTCTGTGATCAGGGTCCTGCACTTTTTTTAAGCAGTACAGACCTGACCCAGAGAGCTCAGGACATCCTGGCAAGCCTTCACTGCCTTCAGCAGCCATGCTCAAAGTCACTACCAAATTTTCCAAGACAATTTTGTTTGCACTACTTTGCATCCTGCACTCGTCTCCTGAACGAACCACTGTCTGGCTGGCAGGAGAGTCACACCACAGCACAGCCAATGTGTACACAGCAGAAACAAACAGGATGCCGTGTGAGACTTGTTCCTGAGCACACACGATAGTACAGGCACAGTCCTGGGGACTGAGCTACCGGACAGACACCTTCCTTCCATGCAATGGAAAGTATTTTCTGCCAGGGTGGAAGCTGTGGGGTTTTAGACCATATTTACACCTCTCTGTAAATTGTCACTGGTGAAATCTGCTTCTCTACTCAGCCTCGAGAAGTTCAGCCTTGAAGATCGCTGTTTTCCCCAGGACTTACTCAGTCCTGCAGGCTGAAAGACGCATGGTTAGCTCAGCAATAAGGCTGGACTTTATGCTTCCTGAGACAAATGTGTCCATTTTGGCTTAGGAATACAGGCTCATCGTTGTCTTCCTGACAGCTACCATTCAGCTGCGTCATCCCAAACAGCCAGCAAGAGCCCACAGAGCTCGGGTGTTTGAAAGTAAAATTAAGGATCTCTGAGGATTTCTGGGCATAAATTTAAAACTATCAAGCCCTAATCCTTTGGTTCTGGTTGTTTATCTACCATGCAGAGAATGCTACAGGCCCACAGCCTTCATGGTCGGACGGGTTTCCTAACGAATCCCATAACCTGATCAGCTGGACCGAACAAGTTTGGAAGGTCACTTAGCTGCTGCTGCTGCACAGAGTGCTCAGCCAATAAAGACTGTGCTCATCAAACTGCCAGCATTTAGGACTGTGCTCAGGTTTGGAAAGGATTTGTTTGGATCAGTATATCTTGGCTTTTCCACCTTGTGCAGGTGTGTACAGTATTCTGTTTCACGTCCAGGACGCGTGGCGAGCAACAGCATCAGGGATCCAAGGAGCAGCCACAGGCAACAGTCTGCACAGAGGACACTGCTGTTTCCCTCCCTTCCTTAATTACTTGCTGAGAAAATGAAAGAATTACAACTGAAAGGCTTCCTAAAAGAATACAGAATTCAGACTGAAATACCTTCTAGCTCTGTCTTACAGGATTCTGGAAGAGAAGCATACCTGTGAATAAATACTACTGTTTAGCAGAAATGAAATATAGGACTTATTTTAAAAGGATTTAGAACCTTATGTATAAGAAGTCCAAATTACGGGAAGCTCTCCCATGGGCTTGGTTTCTGATGCTATGTAAGATACGGTGTGAAAAGCATGAAAAATACAGACGTTTGTAGAGGGTGGGCTGCTGTTCTGCCCTGCTGCCTTCCTTCCTTCACTTCTGGTGGCTGCTTTCCCCACCACCATCGCACAGGGGGGCCACCCTCGCCCCCCCACATCCCCTGCTCTTGTCAGCTCCTCAGAGAACCACTGCCGAAACAGTGAGGGCAGGCCTGCAAACACACACCTTCCACACACAGGCTAACTAGCCCAGATAAGTAATTCAGATTAAAAGCTGCAAAGACAGGCAATTGGATTTTAGTTCCTCTTAGAGCCACCACCGGATTTCAACACTCATCCATCCAAACTCAGGCTCCTCTAAATACCTGGCTAAGCTGTTACTCTGAAACTGAACTCCTCGTTACCTTTACAACAGCTCTTTTAAGCAAGTCTTTCAACCCCAAGTCAACCTTCTTCATAAGCCAC